GAAATTGTCTCTATTAAGCCATGTTTAATGTGTGTTTGATGTGTGTTTTGGTTCAACTAATCTTTACAGCAATTAACAGAAACCTCCGCCACCAACTAGTGTTTAGGAGGTGTAATTGCAGAGTGACACAGACGCACCACCACACAAGTATAAATGCTCACAACAGCGTAGGCCATGTGTGTAGGCTACAGTGTAGGCTCTGCATAGAGCTGAGGCACAAGTATAAATCCTGTTTAAAAGGCAGCATGGAGGCCAGTGAAAATGTTACAAATGTTAATTCTTTTATCTTTATATCTGTTACTTATTTGGTCCCTATTAATTGATGCCAATGCTGATTTTGAACAATTTTCAAGGGCTGCTTGGACAGAGAAGGATGGATGGTATTTTGGGCCATGCGTCATTGTACTGCACCGGAAGAGCAGTGGAAATTAGTGTGTCCACTCAAGTGTCATGTTTCCATTGTTGCTGATCGGAGCTGGAGCTGATAAATACCTGTGACTACTGCAGAGTTATTTGTCTCAGGAATGAATGCCGATCATAACCTTTCCCATTAAAGACAAAAGCCAGATGTTAGCGGGTGTTAGAGTGCAGTGGTAAAGAGGCCATACTGTAGATGAGGATAAAAATATGGCAGCGTATGTAAAGTTTTGAAACATCTTTGCTAATTTTTTTCCCACACAGTCCTTTGTGTATGAGTGAAACTGGTGTTCATACCCATTTCTATACTGCTTTTATAAACACGGTAAACACATCAGTGCAGCTGTGGCAGGGAACCAAACCACTTCAGATCTTTGATGTCTGCCTATGGGTTGTATGTAAAGAAAAAAAAATAACAGCACTCATAAATCCCCAGGTTACCGTTTCCTGTTTCAGCTCAGAATTAGAAAAATGTCTGGCTTTAATAACAGCAAGACAGCTCCTGTGACATTTGATCCACTGTCAATAAATGCCTGTGAAAAACAGGTTTTATTGGCTGCGTTTTATTTGAAGCAGCGTGATATTGGACAAGAAGTGCTTCCTATGCAAAGTTTGCCACAGAGCTTTAAGCAACTTCTGCTGATCCACTGGAAAACTGCCCATATGGATTTTATGTATAGTTGGGAAATTGTAGAAGATGAGAGAAAACTCAATAGCAGTGACATTTTCAGTACGCTAGTTTTATGTGACAGATGAAAACTGCTTAATTTGTGTCCTCATCACTCATCAGTCGCGTGCAGTGAGTTTCGTGCATTTAAATTCTGCGCCCGCTCCTCGCACAGTCACTCATTATCACATGCAACAACCTGAGTTTTATGAATTGCATTCCTCAGTATGACATAATTTACTGCGTATTTAGATTTATGTATTCTCCTCAACCATCATTATCGCCTGCAACAGCACGAGTTTTACGCGCAGCACTGAGACACGTCTGAATTAACTCAATTTTGTGTCTGTTTATCACTGATCTTACAGCAAGGTATCATTTGGATCCTCTGCTCGGGCTGTTTTGCATATTTGAAACCCCTCATGGTTGATGTGGTGGGGCACCATATAACAGAGCAGGAGGGTGGGGTTACCTAAATGCCCTGGTTTTACTGCAGAGGGGGGGTGAGAAGGCTTTAACTCAGTGGAAAGTGGTTATTCTATATTTGCTCCAAACATACACTTACTCCACCCTCCGCACGTCCCACATAAAGCCACTCCAATATAAGTTTATGAATGCTCAACCTCTTCTCATTAGGTTTAGACTCTTTAGAAGCTGCAGACCTGGGAACACTTCTTATTAAAGTAGAGCAACCAGCCCAAACTAACCAGATAATGATCTGTTGATATGAGTGAATGTGCTTCGAGTGCTCTGATGTGGCTTTGCTCAGCAGCGTGTGAGAGCTCACGAGTGAATTAACAAATATTTAAACAAAGAAAGTCACTTTTTTTTTTGGTGTAAGAGAGAATGACTTATGCAGAGAGGCTGTGTAAACGACTGGCTCCCTGTGTTTCTGGAAGCGGGTGGGGTCAGGTGGACCAAAATGACTTGGACCACATTATGTATGTAAAGTTGGTAATTACTAGGTTTGGAGACCTAAATAGCCGGGCCCACAGTGGTAAACACACTGGAAGTCAAGGCAGCTGCCTCCACAGTATCCTTCCTTCTTGCCTCCTCAGAAACAAACTAGACAGTGTGCAGAAAGTTTAAACGTTTGGTTTATATAGCACCAAAAAAAAGCCAGAGACCCTTCAATTAACCACTCAAACAGAATGCTAGGAGGCTTGGAAATCAGAGAGTGGTTGTGTTTCACAACTAAAACTATGAAATGAACTGTGAAGGTTCGTTTCCTTTTTTTGACACAAAGAACAAAACAGCTCAGCAAACTCGTTTATACACACAAATGTGAACCAGCCGTGATACGTCTTACTGGTAAGAGAACACATAACAGGAAAAACTTGTGTCACTGTGTGTCACTATAATAAATTAGAGGTGCTTATCAGCTGGTGATACACCTACACCTTACCAACACTGGATTTGGAGGAGCTTTTCTTTTCTAGCATAACCTGGTCCTTATAGTCCAAAACAACACAATGACCCTGCAACAGAGCTTCTTAGCAACATTATCAGAGCAACTCTAGACATAGCAATGTTTTTCTGTTGGTCCACCATCTTGGTCCAGACTGAAATGTCTCAACAGCTATTGGATTTGCCATAAAATATGGTGCATACATCAATGGTCCCTCGAGGATGAATGCTACCGACTTTGGTGATCCCCTGTATTTTCCTGTAGCGCCACCATGAGGTTGTCATTTTTGTTTTTTAGTCAAATGTCTTCGACATCCATTTGATGAATTCCCAGGAAGTTTGGTACACACATTCATTTCCCCCGTCGGCACAATGGTGCAGTGGTTAGCATTGTCTCCTCACAGCAAGAGGGAGCCCTTATGTGCGGAGATTGCACGTTCTCCCTGTGTCAGCGTGGGTTTTCTCTGGGTACTCCAGCTTCCTCCCACAGTCCAAAGACATGCAGGTTAATTGGTGAAATTCGATGTAGGTGTGAATGTGAGCGTGAATGGTTGTCTTTCTCTATGTGTCAGCCTTGTGATAGTCTGGTCTGTGCTTCTCTCGCCCACTGTCAGCTGGGATAGACTCCAGCCCCCCCCACGACCCGCAACAGTATAAGCGATTATGAAAAATGAATGAATTAATTAATTTCCCCCTTGGGATAATTAAAAACTTTTGATTTAGTGCCAACATCAGGTCAAAATTTCAATTATTCCAATTCTTTAATTATGACCCAATAACCACGGTGGACATGTTAAGCACATAGGATGTATACAGAAGTGGACTTAGCCGCCGGTTATGAAGACTGAAGTCAGTGTGAAAGTGCCTTAAAAGTTCCATGTGTGACATTCAGAGTATTACTGTAATATAGCAGCTAACCACTATTTGCCACCTTCTTGTCCAAATATAGTCACTTCTGGTTTCAAAACAACAAGATGTCAACAGCAAAAATGGGGGCTTAAAGGCAGCAGTCTACAATCCAATGGTCCACGTCATGGTGGGTACACACTTGGTTAAACATTATAGCTGCTTAAGATCAGCATGCTAGCATTATCATTGTGAAGATGTTAGCACGCTGATGCTTTAGCATTGGACTCAAAGTATTATTTTTGCCCAAGCACAGCCTCACAGAGCTGCTAGCATGGCTGTAGAGTTTTAGTCTTATTTAAAACTGTCTCAGGAAAGTGTTGATTCAAGTGAGGTCTTTCATTACACCTGAGTTTGTTTTGTTGTTAAAGCTGGGGTAGCTGGGGTCATTTTGGTGTCATTGCACCTCCTTTTGGCTTTGTTTTCAGGCTTTAAAAAGAATCTACCCTGTGTCAGGAGACTTTGGCGATCACAGGTCATTTTAGAGAAAAGCCGTTCCTAATGTGCGTTTGGTGAAAGCCAGATTCAATGGCAAAGAATCCTGCAGAGGAAGCTGACAGTAAAAAACGAAATAAAACACATGTCAATATCAGTGAAGTGTTTCAGAGATGGAGAGAAAATGTTTCTGTAGCTAATGTTAGCTAGAACTTCAATTCACAGTTCAGCCTTCGCCTCACTCCCCGCTGCTACAGACCACCTTGCCAGGAGGAGAACAGGCAGCAGCTCTGAAGACAGACCCCCAGTCAGCAGCTGCTGCAACCTGAATCCAGACAGCCAGACTTCCCGCCAGATCCGCAAACTTAATGTAGCTGCTGTTAGACAGGTCATAACTGGTGCTGTCGCTGGCCACCAGCCAACTGTGACACCTGGCACTTGGGCTTTGCGCTGGTCAAAATCGAGCTGCTACAGCCGTTGAACGAAGGTCTGTCTCCCAAGCTGTTGCCCGCTTTGCTCCCCAGGGAAGCAGTACGCAGAGGTGGGGAGCGAGGCGTAAGGTGGCTAGCTAGGTAATTCTTATGTCATTTGTGGTCTGATAGACAGAGATAGGGAGAGCTGAGCAAAGAGGGGCTGAAATAAGCTTAGATAAATAGAGGAGGAGGATGTGTCATCAAATTCTGCCCTTTTTTGTTGCCTTTGCCAGATTTCTGCCTACCCCAGCTGTATGTAATGAATCTGTGAAAGGTCTTTAAATGTTGGTGAGTTGTGCCCACTGTTCATCTTTGCTAAAGTGCTGTTCTTGTGTTGGTTGTAAATACATTGGCAGACAGGCTGTAGTAACAAGCAGACCCCCACTAACACTGATTGAAATGGGATACTCTATTAGAAGCTTTACAAAAGTGTTTCTTGTAGGTGAGCTGTTTACTGTGAACTCTAATTTTACACCACATGGGTGTTTTTTGCATTGATCTGACTCATCTGCATCATTGCGTGCGGTCCTTGCTTCACTTCTTTGATTATTTAAGGAGATAACTGATACTGGAAAAGGGAAGTTGTACTCATTTCAGCTGAATGTGAAACTCCTACAAGTTAACCAAAATATCAGTTTTGCCACAGTGACGGATGCAGTATATTCATGCCAAAAGTGAGATGTTTGACAGTTCATGTAAAAGAAGGTTTATTGCAACAAACAAAATGCTAAAAGGAATAGACTGGAACATCAGCAAACAGTCTGGCAGGCCAGAGTATCAGGGCCTCTTTTTTTATCACCAGCCAAGAGACTTGTGTCAACAGACAGACCTGCTGACAAACCTCGCACAATCCTGCAAACCAGCTGCAGTTGGAATGTTTGCATACAGTGGCAGTGTAAACATCTGTTTTTACAGAATGGGTCCTTACAATCCTGAGGACAACTTCAAACAACTTTTTGCCAATTACAAACATGCATGTGCAGCAATTTAGTATACGTGTGCAAGATAAGTCCCCCCTGCAGAGGGGTAAAAAACCTGTGGAGCACATTCAGAGTCATTATGACTTTTAGCAAAGAGAAGACATAAATAACTTAACATGGGACATTACTTCTAAATCTCATGCGTAGAAATTACCTGGCAAAACATTGGTATTTCCACTTCCTGCCATGAGCATTGCTATACAAAGCAATCAATTCTTTTTGGCTATGCATAAACATTTCAAGTTTCTTTGGTGTAAAAGCAGCCTACTGTATGTAGCTAACTCAGAAGTTGCTGAGCAAAAATAACCAACAGAGGTTGCTGGAAGTGTCTGAAACAGTTCGCTCTTGTTCACAAACCCACAGCTATCTCCCTCGGGCCTTTCCTATATTTGCTAAGGAGTTGAATTTGGAGAGGCTTGCAGGACAAGCCAAAGATACAGTTTGGACAGAGAAAATAGTCCGGAGTGCAAAAACAAACATAGCTTCCTATTTTCACCATGCTATACCCATATGTAAAGTCTCAACATACACCCTTGCTTCAAGAGTTAAAAGCTTTATATCAAATTTCCGCTCGACCATACATTTTCTTCATCAAACTATTTTAAATAGTAAAAAATTTTAAATAGCACACTATCAGAAAATATATCGCTCTCTGTATCAGGATAAAAACCCTAATAAATATCAGTCATCCCAGAGTTTTCCAAGAGGTTTCCTGCATCAGGGTTCTTGTCCATCAAAGTCTATAAAAAGTTGAACACTTTGTCCTCGATCAAACTAATCGACTTATCTGTGAGCATTTTTTCACTGCTTACAAATCTATACCCAAAGAGCTTCAGCGTAGGCCCACAGACTCTCTGCACAACCTGAGCTATTTTGAAAGGTAAACTGAACCTCCATTTCTCTACTTGTTCTGAAGAGTTTTTCTGTGTGGAGTAAACACCGCTGGTCTCCTTGGAGGCCTGGGTGTTCCTCAGGATCCAGGATTTCACTTGTGGAGTGAATGGGATTCCAGTGAACCTGTACATCTCAGTTGCCTTCCTCATGGGGAACCGAGCGATGTCCTCGTACCGCACCAGCATGTAACGCCTGCGCAGCCACGGCGGCTGCCTGAGGCCGATCTCAGCGGACATCCTGATGTTGTCGCAGTTCCCTTTCAGCTTTCTCACTTCATCATCATCAATGGGCACATCCCCACCCATTGCCCACTCCTTCCAGTTCTTGTATTTGGCGGCAAAGGCCACCATGCGCGAGGCTAGTACAGCCCGAGGATCTCGAACCAGCTGAATGAACTTCACGTCAAGGCGCGGGTCCTCAGCCAGGGGACGGAGGTTCTCCAGCTGGCGCACCCTCACTGACTTGATGACCCTGTGCTCCTTTTGGTGGCAGGACTCAGACGCCATGGTGAGGTTAAGGGGCCCACAGCGTCTGGTCCTGCAGCGATAACGCTCAAAGACCCCTTTGATGATGGGGCTGCAGACCGACTCCTCGCACAGAGAGCTGCTGGACTCCCTGCGGAAGAGCGCGGTGGTGATGTGGTCCACAGGGAGGGGCTCGATGAAGCTCTCCAGCAGGGTGAAGTCACACAGAAAGAGCTGCTGGAGCACGTCACGGTACGCCTTGGCTGCCGCTGTGGCATTGGTGCCGCCAGTCTCCAGCGTCAACATCTTCTCCACGTGCCACAACGGCTCGAACAGGTAAAACATGTTGTCGCTCTGCTGGTTAAAAAACTCGCCCACAAACGAGGAGCCCGTCCTGGTGGTGGCTAAAAGGAGGATGTGCTTCCTGCCCCTCGCCACCACCTCCTGGTGCTGGCTGTAGTTCTCCAGGCGTCGTTTCATCAGCGTGAAGGCAGAGTCCATCTTGCTGAGTGAGGTCATGGAACCATTGCGCCTCAGCAGCATGTGGGAGAAACCACTCGGCTGTAGAGGGGTCTGGGGGGTCTGCTTTAAGGCGAGCTTATCTGACACCCTGAAAGTGCGATAGGAAGAAGAAGAGTCACAAAGTTATATTATCTTTCACAGAGAGAAATCATAGCTTGTTATTTAACTGACACACTTTTGTGTTGCTCCGGGAGTTTTTGTAAAATATCTGTTGAAAGCTCAGAAGTGATAAACACACACGAACCTGCAGGGAATCACAAAAGCACTCCATTGATCACTGAAATGGACTTACCTTGAGATAATGTTGTTTTCCTTCTCAATGATAACAAGTGCCACAAAAAAGACGATGGATATTGTGTATTTGATCCTCATTCTTGGATGTAGCTGTGCCTGGATATGCTTTTACAGACTGCTCCTTAATGGGTTCTGCCAATCTCGCAAGTCTCCAGTCGCCTTCTTAAAGAGCCTTCTAGTTATTTGTATTCCCCGTTGTAGGCGATGTTTCATCCTGTAAATGAAATGAACATCAACCTGTCAGTTACACATTTTGCACATTTGAGCACAGTGGTGAGTAACTACTTTGGTCTCAATTCGTTATGTCGAAACACGTCAAGGTATCTGTTTAAAGCATTCGTGGAAATGGGGAAGTTGACAGTCTGTTGTTGCATATGTAAAACTGCACTGTGATGCTGAGTCAGAGCACTTCTTCCCATCGCTCTCTTCTTTTTCTTTTTTCTCAGCCATGCACAGCATCACTGCACTGTGCTCTGCAAAAACCAACAATGGAGGCATTTACTCAGAGACAAAAATATCATATCTCAAGAAGGTAAGAGTAGAAAATAGCTGAGTGTGTTAGAATGGAATCTAAGCCAGTTCTTCCCACGAGGAAGTCCTTGTTATCTTTAAGTGCATCAGTGCATTTCAGGAACATGCCGACCCACCCTGCAAGACTGAAGGCTGGTGCACAGAGAAAAGCTGTATTTATGAGTGGGGCTTTGTAGAAACAACCATGAGAGCACAAAGGAAATGTGAGCAAGAGACTGCAATCAAGCACAATTAAACTGTAATTCTACAACTGCTTGAAAAGTTGTCTGGGTTAGAGTGATAATCCTACCTCCCACTGATGGGTAGCAGAGCAGCCTGTGGTCCAAACTGCCAGCTGTGGCTCCATGTCAACACTGGGAGGGGATCTTTTCAACAGAGGCCCTCAGTGACTTGGGCTACTGGTACAGTAGACCATCTGGTGGCTGGTCCACCCATAATATGCCTTTGTGCTTCTGAGGTTACGTACACACTAATACGCTGTCGTTTTAGAGCTTTGTGTTTATGCCTAACGTCCACACAACTGGTGTTTTTGATCCCCTTAAAAGAAGACCTTTAAATATGCTGCTGACCATATTTTAGTTTGAAAACTCTTTAGTGTGGAGGGGTGGAAACAAAGACTTTTAAACAATGATGATGCAAACATCCATGTTTACCTCCTGACTGGGTCTAGTCAGTCACAACATGTCAAGCCAAGATGGTATATCTAGACCCACATACCAAGCAGCAACCTCCGGCGCTGAAAAATGAAGCCAACACAGGAGTGCAGAAGAACTTCTGTGGCCAGTCGAGGCTGGCACCAGAAGCGAGTCAATCCCCATTGCGCCTAACAAATCTACAGTGGGTAAATATTTATTAAGTCATCCATTTAAATGTCATTAAAGCTTAAAGTCATGCATAACTAAGGGTGTGTTTGTTCTGAGTGACAGGTGGGTGATGTCCATTGACTAGTTATCAAAGCAATGTTGGATAAGTAACGTAACAATGGCATAACCCAAGATTACACAGAGTATAGGCGTCATCATAGCTGTCACTATGTGTTCATGAAAGTTAACTGCAATGTTTTGGTCGCCTTAAAAATCTTGTTCAGCGTTTATTTGGGTTAAACATCCCTCTTTGGATGTTGGATGTTCAGTTTTTCCAGTAGTACATTTTGTTTAAATGGTTTTAAGCCTGTTTTTCGCTAGCAAAAAATTAGCATTAGCGTTGTGACAGTTAGCCATAGGTGTAAATGCACCGTGCAAACCAAACTAGCAGCTAGCATTAGGGTTAGCTCCACCCTCTCGTCCAAACATGATCACTTCTGTCTCCAAAAATCCAAGATGGCGACGACCAAACTGCCAAACTCAAGGCCTCAAAACAGGAGTCCACAAACCAACAGGTGACGTCATAGTGGCTACGCCCATTATTTTATACTATCTATGCCACCCATGTGATTTCATCCTTCTCGTATGGGCAACAATAATGTTTCTCCGTTACCATTGCCATGGTTTTCTCCGGCGATGGATACTACTCCTGGTACCGCTCTAATATGATGCTGTATTTGCTTTGCAGTGACTCCCAATCTTTATTCCGCCGCCTTGACCACCATGTTCATGTTCTTCTCAGTAACAGTTTGACCTCAACGTTGGGGCAAGCCAAGAAATCTCTTCTATAGCTAAGCAACCAACCGCAAATCTGATTTACATCAGCACACACATGCCCAGTGTATGTGAATGGTCATGTTCAGGTGTGTTAATACATATAGAGATTGGAACACACACGTGTATGGAGGTTGTTTTCATCTGAAAACACTTTGAAATAAAAACGTATTTGTGTTGATGTAGCCGAAAACACTGATTGAGGCTGAGAGGCACACGTCACAACATTGAGAGGTTTAACTGCACAGTGCTGAAATTAGAGGGGAAAGCCTGCTCGTCGTGAAGTCGTAAATTGTAGTGCTCTGAGCCTGCAGGCCGTTTCGTATTTGTGTTACTCTTGGAGGGCAGGGAGTGGGTAGTCAAATGATGATAAGAGTGGATTTAATGATGCCTATGTGTATTTGGGAATGTCTTGCACATTCCTGAAAGATTGATATTTTAAGGTAATGGCAGCTTGGCTCAGATCCCTGACTAATCTTCGGATTTTAGCATAATCCTGCCTTACCTCGTCTGCCAGTGAAAGGGTCAATAACACGGCAAGAGTAAATGAGACAGTCTCCACCCTGAGGAAATTGGCAATGCGTCAGTTTGATGTGTGCCCACAAAAATGCCAAAGTTAGAAATTTAGAAGCGTTTAAGTAAGCACACAGAGGTCATACAGTCAGTCTTTTTAAATCCTGAATCAGACATCTGGGTTTGTGAAAACATTTGTTTATTGGATCCGTCAGGTGCTCTGCACAGACTCCTGAGTGTGTGTGATTTCTTATGGATCACTGTTAAACGATTGCAGGTCTAGCCTCAGGGCCGACACATTAGTGAAACTGCTGCTATTAATCAGCGGAGCCACAAGCCAACAGACCAGCTTTTTCACGTCTCACTACAGCAAGGTAGTCGTGTGTTTGACACCAAACAAGCAGCGCCGTGTAGGAAGGGAAAAGCCCGATACACACGCATCACTTTCTGAATTCTGATGTGCCTCTTTGAGTTTCTGTGTAACACGTCTGGAGGTCCAGTTCTCACATCCTGTTGCGACCTCCGTCCCAGGCCAGTTTTGAGCACAGAAGCCAGTCCAAATGCTCGCAGTCTAAACACAGGGGGATGGTTGGACGCTGCCCGAGAAATTCTCCGTGAGGGAATGGGAAGTTTACAGCTCCAATAGAGCACTGTTGACGTGGAACGGCGTGTAATGAAAAAGGTGAACAGCTTGTGTACCGAGACACGTTTTCACCGTGAGGGAAAATCAGCTCTGTCTTGCACCACCCTGCCGCATGCCACAACCACAAAGGTCTCTTTACACAGGAGTGACTCTAAACCTTCTTTTGGGCAGAGATCGCAGAACATAAACTCCCAGGTCACTCGCTCATCACAGGGTCAGTGACTAACCCCCTGATGTTACAACTCGTGGTACATGTCTTCTCATGGTTGCACCACAGGAAATTACTCAGTCCTTAAGTCTTCAGTGGTCATTTAACATTGTACAAATACAGCCACAGCTTATAAAGAAGATCTGACTAAATCTACTGTGACTACACCTGTACAAATTAAGACAAACACCAAAAATGATTTGGCCTAATGAATAAGACACGAGCGAACGATCAACTGCTCCCCTCAGTGAAAAAGTCTGACAGAAATTTAGAGTACTAGAGTATGTATTTGAGCAGTTTTTATATTGGATTTGAAATAATAAAAAAAAAAGCTACATCAACAATTCATCAAGAAAATAAGTGGTCTGAGGTTTTGTCATTTATATGGTAAATTAGATGTACACCAATTATCTCAGCTTATTGCATCTGCTGTGTAAAGTTAAAAAAAAACAACACGCACACATGAGCTGACATTGTTGAATATTCACAAACCACTGAGGCATATGACACTTTTGATCATCTACTCATAACAAAACCGCCACTGCACCATTTATCATCTCGCTACAAATGCTTTTAATAGCTGCCTCTTATTTAATGTAAATCTTATGTGAAGACAAATTAAACACCACCCAGACAAACCCACGTTGTCTGAGATGTTACAAATGTGCCCTGTATTCACAGAATATCCCATTACAACAGGTAAATGGATTTTTATCTGCAAGACAGTATGTAGGCCTGATGATTAAAGGATGATTTATCTTGATATCCAGCCTGTTTTCACTCCCAACCTGTCAAATATTGTGGCTTTGTCTGTGATTACAGAGGCATCTTTTGTGGCAGTATGATAAACACTGGGTGTATCAGTTTCAGAAGCACCTAGCAACAACCCAAGTCATCAAATATCGCTGCTTTGTCAGTGGACGTCGGCATCAGACACTGACGCAAAGACACCCTCTGTGGCTGTATGATACGACCTGGTCAAAGGCTGTTTAAGACATCGCCGGCAACTACTGTAATATAATGAGTAACAAGTCCGTATAGAGCGGGGGAGGAGGTGGATGGGTCAAACAAACTCTGGACTTTCACCTGGGAGCCCGTTGTCAGGTTCCTGTGTGAATTTTAGGCCAAATTATAATGTTTTTTTGTTGCCTAACCTGAGGAAATGCATGTAAAGTTTATTTTGAAAAGACTGCATGGATGTACAGAAACTGTACATTTCCTGTGAAAACAGAAGTGTATTTTGAAAAGACACAATGAATGTAACAAGTGTAAATTGAAATGCCATCTGTAAGCATCCAAAAGAGACACAGGAGGGTACCTGGTGCATCATATTTTGACCTGTATGTCCACTGACAAAATGGTGGTACTTGACGAGTTAGGATAATAACATAATAACACCTCATTACATTCATTCAATAGCTGTATTTTACTAACTTAGCAGATTATTTTTTTACGTACAAAATGCTTTGTTATAGATTAAACTCTATAAAGATAAAGCTCAGGTATTTAATTCACTGGCTTTGCCAAACACTGACATTCACATGGCTCCCCCAGAAAATTTTCACAGGGGTGACCAGATGGGGCTACTGAAAATCTTGGGCCGGTACACCATAACCAATTTTGAGAGTTAAAGAATCGCATACTGATTGGTTTCTTATTTTACAATTGATATTACTAATTACCTAGTCTAGCTCACCAGACCTTTCTCAGGAGGAAAGGTCTGGCTGGGCCGACTCTCACTTTAAGATTGGAGAAAAAAACGCCCTGGCTGCTTTTATTTCTTTCAACCAATCACAATCATTCTTGGCAGTGTCACAGCAACGGTGTGCTTGCAAAAATATTGCCGGGGGGAAACAGGTTTTGGTGTAACACACCCACAAAAATATCGCCTACAGTACGCGAACCATGGCAGAAAAATGGCTACATCCCCGCAAGATCAAACACCGCAAAAGTTAGTAAAGGACGTGTTGAAAACTGCAACCGGAGGTGGTAGGGCGGGACTTAAGCGGGTGGCTCGTTTCGCCCAATGAGAGGCTGATCTTTGCAGCGAACTTCCACCCACTCAGACTACTAATTACCTGATCTGACTAATACCATTACACTTAACATTCGAGTTCCACAGTGAGTCATGTATCTTTATATACATTTTAGGTGATTCATTGTTCTTCAAATAGGATGGCTGTCATATTTCTTAGAAAGATAAATATACAGCTTTAATTTGAAGGAGTACATTATTTGTAAGGAACTAAGCATTTACTGGGAACAAGCCTCCACAAGTTTAGGGGAGACCTGTGGGTACCCATGGAACCCATTTTCATTCAGATATCTTGAGGTAAGCGTTAAAGACACTCCTTTGAAAGTGGCTATGCCAGTTGTTTGAAGCACTGTTTAGCCTCCTTCTCGAAAAGCTATGTTAACATGGTTGTTACTAGGGATGTCAATGCTAGTTAATTTTGAAAGGCTGACGCCCATTAACCAGTAACCTACTGGTTATTTTTTAGGGAAAAAAAAGAGACATGAAATTAGTCCAGTGCTCCTTTGACTCAATATAAGCTTTAGCGCTGCATTTCAAAGTGCTATCCAGTTTTGTGATTCGAATGTCTTGCCTTTTCTTCTCTCTTGGTTTTGCTGACAGACAACCGGCCAGTTGCCTTTTATTTATTTATTTACTTGTTTATTTGACAAGGACAAATGCATAGGACATTGGTCCATGTGTAAAAATACAAAGTGAATGCAATGCATACAGGTTTCTAGCCTAGCTAATTAGCAACCCCTGTCCCTGGTTAGGCTTAAAACGGTAAGCGTAAGATTACTGAGCATGGAGTAATTCAGTACAATAATACAACACAACATATGCAGTAAAATAACATGAAGAAACATGCCCACTGCCCGCTCAGTACTGCACAACACCCAGTTCGGGAGAGAGCTAACATTAGCTAGCTGACGCCGCTGCTCATCTAGCGAATACAAGTGGTGACACCCTTCAGGTGGCAGAAATGTTGCTGTGAAAACATTGTGCACCCTCTAGTCTCCCCTCAGCTCACCTTAGGGAATAAGCAGCTTCATTTTTAGCTGCAAAACCCTTTTAGCATTATTTGTTAGCATCACTAGCCAAGCTTACACTGCTAATGGTGATAACATAGTCCACATTGCTAAAGAGGGTTTTACCGCTCAAAACTGAGCCACTTACTCACTGGGGCGAGCTGAGGGAAGTCTGGAGGGTGGTCACAATGTTTCCATAGCAACACTGTTGGGTCATGGTGGTGTTGCTTGCAATAATTGCCTAATGAACGGCAGCGCTAATGCTACCTAGTTCCCACCAGATCCAGGTGGTGCACTGTGCAGTAAATTAAAAATTAAGTTATGGACCAACATGTGTAACCAGTCAAAAAAAATATCTGTGGTTATGGTTAACGGTTGACATCCCTAGTTGGTACTAACACTAACACTAACCGCTGCCAAGGAACAACCCATCTCAGCCAACAGATACCTTTTCCTTCTTCCATAAATATCAGCCTGTGATAAACATGAAAAAGTTGATCATTTTGGTGCAGAGCTTTACACCTGTCCCACAGACGATATGCCTACAGTTATAAACAGCACCTGGAAGAAGATCAGCTCTGCTCTCAGGATTTGAGGTAAATAGGCTAGAATTTGGTGACTGTTAAGGTTGCTTACTAACTTCAGACGCAACCTGCTGCTGCGCTCATGAAAGCCGAAGTCCGACCTTGTGTTTTCTAGGCAGTTTAAGACGCAGCATGTGTACGGCCCCTCAGGTTCCCTTGTTTCACAAGATACCACTACCTTTGAGCTAGCTTAAAAAAATAACTTAGCGCACCGCAGCCTCTTAAAGACAGTAATATCGGCCTCAAATTATTTTTCGCCAGGGGGCGTGAGGGGGCCAATGATTCACATCTCATTACTTTATTTCCAACAATGTTTCTGAATTTACTTTCCATAGATATATACAATTTATAGTCATTATATAGTAGATACATCACTATAACAATACAAATTTACATATACTGTGATAGAGTGCATTATTTTATATCTAATATGAAGTGTATTGCAACATGTAGACCACTTACCAAAGGAAAACAAGGCGGGCTGTGTTCAATCCATTTGTTTGTAAAGTTTAATTTGATAGTACAGGTCCGTTTCAGTTAGAGTTTATTAGGCTATCTGGATGTATTGTTTCTATGGTTACCACAGTTTAAAGACTGCAGGTGGTTAAACTTTTGGTCAGGTCTTTGTTACAGATGACCATAAATACTAGTAGGTAAGGAATCTCGCCTAAAATTATTTTAAAGGGAGTTTGGCATGCAGGGAAACAGGTTTAGTTAAGATGGGAGTGTAAGCGAGAGTCATGCTTGTTGATAGAATATTTGGGACAATGTGGTGATTATGCACATGGTAGAGGTCATGCAGCACAAGTTAAAAAAGAAGAAGAGGAAAAAGTATGCATGGATGGTATTATTATAAATCCAAAGCACTGACTTGGCAGGCAACGTTGCAGTCCATTTATAAACAGGTTGAAACGTCAGTGCAGGAAAAGCCGGACTCCTTTAATGCAGCAGTGGTGAGGGTCCCTAGAGAGCATGCGCTGCATTCAGAGGTCATAAGGACAAAGCGGCCAAACTGAAGTCATGCTTTGTTAATGAGAAGACCCTCAAAGAAAACCTTTCCTTCAACTTTTATCAAAAGTTATGCAGTTATTTTTATTTCCCATCAACAGTCCTCCTTTATTTATAAAGTGGAATTCAAATATATAAAGTTTGTCCTCTCTCCATACCCACCATCATGATGAGCCGCGGTGTCTGAAGGCGTCCCGCGTCGTGTCATCAGCCTGTCCTCACAGAGAGACTTCGGATAGAAATTAATTCCATAACTTCCCAAGAACACTTCACTTGTGTGACAAAAAACAATCCAAGCCAAAAGAAGCAGCAGCTGGAATAGTCTTGGTGAGTGAAACCTGTGGGTCAGGTGGACTCATGTTTGAGGAGACTGCAGGTCAGGCTGCCCGTTGGACTGAATGGCAAGACTGTGCAACAGTTGCGCCTCAGTGAATCACATGGGAAAGTTTGGTCCAAAGGAGCGGAGCTTCAGGCTGGAGGCGCACTGACACCACCCTTCACACAGACCCTCTGTTAACTAGTCTGGTAACTGTAGATGGCAAACTAACTTTAAACACATTATAAACAATGTTAGAGGTCTGATTCTGTTGTTATGTGCCGCTGATATTTAGGCCACTTTTAATTTTTTTTTAGCAGTTCTTGACGTAGTCGCAACACAAGAAAAGGCAAGCACGCCATCTAGTGGAGAAACACACAAAGTGCGTCTCAACTTTTACACTGACCTGTATGTGGATCTGAAGGAACAATTACAAAACACTCAGATTCTGTCTTTAACGTCATTTATGTCAACTTAAATTAAAAGCAAGTCATTCAATCAAGTACTGTACTTGTAGGCCTTCTCCATTTTTAAAACGAAATATACTTTTTTTTTTTTACTCTACTACATTTATTTTACAGCTGTAATTTTACACTATGGAGATGAAGGTCTTGCATGTAACACCATCAGTTCTTAAATTATTGTATGTATGTGTATATGTTTTACTTGGTTTGTAAAGTTGTTGAAATGAGCCTTACCTTAACACTGAAAGGGGTCATTGTGCATCATGAGTGACATTGTTTTATTTTAATTTTGATACTTTAAGTACGCTTTGTTACAGAGCATAGTGCCTGCACTTGGGAGAAACAAAACATGTTTTTATATTTTTATGAAATAACAAGTTTATTAGCTCAGAATTCTGAAAACATTTTCTTGGGAAAAAAAACTTGCACGTGTTTTTTTTTTTTAATTAAAGAGAGAACAACCTCGTAAATTCTCGTTATTCAGAAAAATAATATCAGATTTTTTTTCCATTAATAAACATAATCTCTGAATTAATAATAATAATTATTATTATCAATAATTAATAATTAGTATATATTTTTCTGAAGCAGATTTTTTTTCCCATTAAAACTTTTCTCAGGATTCTGAGATAATAATCTCTGAATTATTAATAATTAATGATTATCATTATCTAAAATGATAAATTCATATTATTTTTTCTGAATTAGCTATCTTTTTTTTTTTTTTTTTTTTACCTTTTTTTAGCTATATATTTATTATTTTTATTGTGAACTACAAATGCTTTATTTATTGTAAAGCAGTATTTTTAAACGTTGACACTGCTATTTGCTTGGAGCTACATCCTTCTTTAACCTGTGATGACAGTGCTTTATGATTATAACACGCAGGCCGACTTAGAACAACAACTCCCATCAACCCTGTCGCTTAATGATGACGCACTCGTAGGGAATTTTCACGAAGGTTGCAAAACAATTGCGTCAGAAAGTTGCGCAGTTGTTTCTGGAAAGGTGAACGACGAACATTTCTCCCTCGGTATGTAACGTTCATGTGCATTCAATTGTCTTTACATTAGGTATTTTATACCAGAAACGCAGTAGTTAATCGCGAAAGATATTTAATTTGGTCAGACTGAACACTGTAACACCGGAAGTCCCAAAGAAATTGTAGCGAAATAAGTATTTAACGTTATGCAGCTAGCATGTGTCGTGTTAGCTAACGTTAGCTAGCTTAACGTTTAACTTCAGTGGACTGTTACGATATAAGCGTTTATAACTGACCTATGTTATTGCTGCAGTGCTTTAACTGTGTTGTCTTGCTGGCTGTGTGATTGTAATCATTACAATATGTGTACAACTGTTAAAACATGATGTCGCACGACTGTCCTGTCAGCTACTGTACCAGACGCCCTGTTTATCTTTCAGTCTGATCCAGGATAATACACCGTGACCATGTTGGTGGCGAGGCTGACGTGCCTGAGGAGTCTTCCTCTCGTCGGGCTCCGTCCTGTGCTGTCACAGGGCTCCTCAGCCCTGAGAGCACCCACCCTGAAGGCCTGTCCACCTCTGCTCAGGCCCCAGCAGGTACTGTAGAGTTAGCACCAACAGGCTGCCATTCATAACATATGTCCAGTCTTTCTGTTTGCTGCGTTCAGTCTCCATTATGAGCACACCGGTACTACACACATACATCTGCTATTACTTTTAACCACTTCTGCTAACAGTAGACTAGGTTAAAAGAAATTCTCATTTAGCTTGGGTCAGTACAGCAGATACTGAGGCGCACATAAGATTAAATTGAATAGTGGGCACTAGGGTTGCGGTGATATACCGGTTTCAAGCTATACTGTGATATATAAGTTGATGGTTATCATACTGTGAACATTTGGTTATCTGCAATATAGAAAAGAAAATGCAGCTGGCCATTGACTCTCCCCTTTATATTAGGTATTTTCTCAGGGGAGAGTTTTTTTACACATACGTGCAACAACAAAATGGTTTTAAGTGTCAATTATAGTAATAAAACATTTGTTCAACCATCAGTGACTCTTCCATGTTCATTCCTTTAACGGTTCTTCTGACTGATAATAAGATAACTTCTTCAATACCATGAAACCGTGATATTTTCTGTTATCGTACAGAGAAAATCTCATACCATTGCAACCCTAGTAGGCACTGAATGTAAAGAGAACATTACATACGCTACATCAAGGCTGCATCTGAAATGGCGCACCATGCACTACATAACCAATATACAGTATCTCACATAGGTGAGTACACCCCTCCCATTTTTGGAAATATTTTATTATATCTTTTCATGGGACAACACTACAGAAATGACACTTTGATATAACTTAAAGTAGTCAGTGTACAGCTTGTATAGTAGCATAGATTTACCTTCCTCTGAAAATTACTCAAAACACAGCCATCAACATCTAAACAGCTGGCAACATAAGTGAGTACACCCCACAGTGAACATATTTTGTATAAATATATATATATTTGGGTCATTATCACGTTGGAAAACTTGATAATGAAAACTTGCAGCCCAGTTTCTGAAGAGGGGCGATCATGCTCTGCTTGGAATTCATGTTTCCCCAGAGCCGGCAGGACTCATGCTGCCCCAAACCATGATGCTGCCACCACTATACTTGACTGTAAGCATGGGACAGTTGTCTTGGTGCTCTTTCAGCATGTGTGGCACATTGGTGAAGAGCACCAAGACAACTGTCCCTTGCCTGCAGTCAAGTATAGCGGTGGCAGCATCATGGTTTGGGGCTGCATGAGTGCTGCCGGCTCTGGGGAGCTCGGTTCATTTAGGGAAACATGAATTCCAAGCAGAGCATGATCGCCCCTCTTCAGAAACTGGGCTGCAATGCAGTTTTCCAGCATGGTAATGACCCAAAACACATCTAGAAGATGACAACTGCCTTGCTCAGGAAGCTGAAGGTGAAGGTGATGGACTGGCCAAGTATGTATCCAGCCCTAAACTCACCTGTGCACCTGTGGGCCATCCTCAAGCTGAAGGTGGGGTAGCGCAAGGTGTCTTCACATCCATCTGCTCCATGATGTCATCATGGAGGAGTGGGAGAGGATTCCTGAAGCAACCTGTGAGCTCTGGTGAATTCCATGCCCAAAAGGGTTAAGGCAGTGCTAGATAATAATGGTTGGCGCACAAAATATTGACAATGTGGACATGTTCACTGTGGGGTGTACTCACTTATGTTGCCAGCTGTTTAGATGTTGATGGCTGTGTTTTGAGTAATTTTCAGAGGAAGGTAAATCTATACTACTATACAAGCTGTACACTGACTACTTTAAGTTATATCAAAGTGTCATTTCTATAGTGTTGTCCCATGAAAAGATATAATAAAATATTTCCAAAAATGAGAGGGGTGTACTCACCTATGTGAGATACTGTATGTACTATTGTTCAACATACCTTTGTCAACATAAACAGCAGAGTATCTTTCTCGACGCACTGAGCTGTAATTACCATGTCACTTCCTCAGAGCCTCCTTGCTGGTTGGACAAGCATAACCATAGTAACCTGTGCCAACAACAGCCTTACTGGCAATATAAAAAAATATATTACTCCTAGCAAAGTGAAATCTTACAGTTCTTACATACCTACATTCAAAATGAAGCATTACTGACATTACAAAGCTGTCTTGGTCGCTGTCCGTTATGGTATTGTCGGACATTTATACCGGCACAGTGTCCAGTGTTTGCGTTCTGTAATATTCACTCAAAATAGTTTGACATTTCGGGACATATTAAAAAATCTCACGTACCGTTTTAGCTCACTTAATAGCAAGTTAGTATGCAATTTCAGACACAGCCCAAGCTGCTAATCCATAGACTGTTTAAAAAAAATCAAACACCATCCAAATCTGTGTTTTTGTGACGAAATCTCATTTCAGTTTCTCTTGCACACTTCTGTTGATGAATAGTGTGTAAAGGCAAGAAGTAATGTAGACACTGGCAAAGAAACAATCTGAATATTTGCTATTGTTTAAAGCAAGTCTGATGACTCACATTTTACCAATAGTCTCTAACAAGGCAGGGTGTAGGAGCTAAAGGATTAGTTATAGAGTGGGTAGGAAACTGCAGTCTTGATATTCAGAATGAATGCCAGTGTCAAAGAAGGTGGCAGCAGTTCAGAGGTCTGACACAAGGCATGACAAAACAGTCCTGTATTTGCTGCAGCAGCCTTCTTGTCCCATCAGTGCCCCTGTTGAGTGAATTTAAACATACTTGTTGAAGTTTCTGTCAGTGAGATTGCAAGCAAAACACACTGACAGTGAAATGATAGTTGAACTTCAGTAATGTGGTGTATCACTAAATCAACAGCTTGAGTTTTGTGTAAAGTTTTGTTTTTCTCTCACCAGGGTTACTCCACAAAGACCAGATTTGGTTTCCGCCGTGGGAAGACAGCCAGAGACCAGATCAAAGAAGCAGCGTTTTAGCCAGCAACAGATACCGCCATTAAAAGTAATCACTATTACATACGCTAGTTTAATATACTGTTGCATGCTGTTACATACACTGTGCTGATACATAACTGGAGTTTTATGCTATCCCCTCTCTTAACAAGCTAAATTATGATGAGATCATATAGTTTGGATCCTTCAGCTAATGCCAGATGCCTCTGTGTTCATCTGTTTTGAGTATTCAAGTTTGTGACATCCTAGGAGAATTTGTGTTAAATAATAACTGTCGTGTCCACAGTTGACAGCATGGGACGAATGATCCTGGCTGGAGGTGCAGCAGTTGGTCTTGGAGCTCTGTGCTACTATGGACTCGGCATGTCCAATGAAATCGGTGCCATTGAGAAAGCAGTGTGAGTAACAGCTTTTTAATTTTGTTTAGAGGCACAGGTCAGTTTAAAGTGTTCATCTTCTAAAGGCTGATTGACAGTTGTACTTAGGCTCTACGCAGAGCCCACATGCAGCCTTGGCAAATGGCCTACGCCATTGTGAGCATTTATACTACATTCATACCACTGGTGTGTTTGCATCGCTCTGCTATAACATTACCAAAGTGCTAGTCGGCGGTGGAGTTTCTCTGCCGCTGTGTTGAGTTTCTTTGTGTACTTTGAACAATGGCAAATGAAACTGAGTGGATGATGTTGGCATTGGAGATAATACATGTCGAACAACAGTTATTTGCTCTGAAGTTACTGCCACACAGCACTTGTAATTTGGCAAAGATGAGTCGCAGAAATATATATATGTAAGGACTAGGGATGGGAATTGATAGGATTTTATCGATATCAATGCTATTATCGATTCTGCTTATCGATCCGATTCTTTATCGATTCCCTTATCGATTCCTCCTGTGAATTAATGATTTCACCTCCTGTTGTTTGTAACCCAATACATCTGCTTTCAGAACATTTTATTATGAACCTTAAAGCCATGGTCTAGTTTAGAAAGATGATGAGAAAGATTTGAAAAAAAGCATCCTTCTCCTTAATGTGGTCCATGCTCACGGAGAGGCAGGAGCAGCCGAAAATGCTAAATAGGACATGCGATGCTACCATTTTGACCAATGACAGTTTTCTGGGCAGGTCCAGTCAGGCTGCGGTGTAGCGTACAGCGTGGATTGAATAAACCAAGCTCTGTGTTCACCTGACTCTTTGCTGTGCGTGCAGGATCTGGCCCCAGTATGTGAAGGACAGGATCCACTCCACCTACATGTACTTCGCAGGCAGTGTTGGGCTGACAGCTCTGTCAGCTGTGGCAGTGAGCAGGACACCAGCACTTATGGGTCTGATGATGAGAGGATCCTGGCTGGTAAGCTTTAATAACCCAAGTGGATCTGACAGAGATGGACGTGTTCTTTCGGTCCTCACTGCATTTACTTTGAAATTAAATTGAAGGCTAATAACATTTTTAGGTGTATGCACAGGTTGTTAATTTGAATGCCTGATGTTTGTTCTAACAGGCGATCGGAGCAACTTTTGCTGCTATGATTGGTGCTGGCATGCTGGTCAGGTCCATTTCATATGAGCACAGCCCCATGCCCAAACACCTCGCCTGGATGCTTCATGCAGGTTTGTAAGGAAGGTCATCACTGTTGTGTTGTCCTATTCAGCCCTGTAATTTCGGTTATGTAGTTACCTCAGTTGGACACTAGAGGGCAGTCATGTAAAGGCTCAGAGAATAACAGTTGCTGTTGTATCTGAAACCTCCACACTACATCTAGACTTATGTGTGTTGTCTTTGTATTTGACTTTTTTTTTTAATTAGGTGTGATGGGTGCTGTCATTGCTCCTCTGACTCTCCTGGGGGGGCCTCTGATGATCAGGGCAGCCTGGTACACTGCAGGAATCGTAGGAGGTCTCTCCACGGTGGCCATGTGCGCCCCAAGTGAGAAGTTCCTCAACATGGGCGGCCCATTGGCTGTCGGCTTTGGAGTGGTCTTCGCTTCTTCTATTGGTTAGTATAAAGCAGTTTCACCTCATAAACCCAGTCTCAGGTGCACTCCATGCAGCTCTGACCATGTTAGCAAAATTTTAATGAGTTAAATGACATGATGTGTACATTACTCCATTTAACGCTTAACTACAGACTATAGCCAAGTATTAACTGCCAAGTATCATGTGTTTTCCCATGATTAAGTCCCTGTTGAGCCGTGTGAGAAACTTCTTCAAGTAATGAAAATCCATAATCTACAAATCCGATGAGTAAATCACACCCAAAGTGTTAGTTTTCACACAGTCAAACCAGTTTATTTATGCAAATTAATTTGGGTGACATCACACAAAAAGAGAATATCAGTGTTTTGTGTGAATTAATTTGCATGAACTACAGAAATTAGCTGCTGTAAAATGATACATAGCAGTACGGGCATATTCTATTCAGAAAGCACAGGTTTGATCTCTACTGATGAATGTCATATATATAATATGAATGAGGTGAAGTGGTTAATATAACCAGAAAGTTAAATGAGAAAAGTTTTTCTCTTGTTAGAAGAGTGTTACAGTTAGTTCCACTGTGGCTATATGCCAGTGTAAATGCCAATTATTTCAGTACTTGTTTTAGTCCCTTTTGCTCTTGCATATAAAAAGGGTGCCTGAAAGCAGCGTGATAAAGAAGTGGGCTCCGTGGGCTTGGTCTTTTCTTTGTCGGCACATCTGGTTGATGCAGTCAGATGAGCGTTAGCATGTTAAAAGTGTTTTCATTTACATCCCCTAAAACGGCTGTGCAAAGCCAACACGGCGTTCTCATCTTATACACAACTTTCTCTCTAGTGTTGTAGTTGACTGGCAACCTGCAGGCGGGTCTTTACGCACTGGGGTCTCATATACAAACATTGCATACACACTAAACAAGGCCTGAAAGAGGCGTACGTCACTTCCCACGCAAAAGTTGTGATCTATGACAACAGACCTGATGGGAGAAACTTTGACCCTTGCTTACGGACATTTTGGAGACGGGAAATTGGCGACGCAGATGGTGAGGTGGAAGCCTTATTGGTGCATGTGATTTTCGGCTTTTTTTGGTACGCACATTTTTAGTATGGATCCTACATATTGTTGTATAAATGAGACCCCTGGTGCTCTGACTGGCATTTCAGTCAGCTTGTTGCATTAACCTCAGCACCTATTGCTCAGGTCATACAGCTGAATGTTTATGGGCAGAATACACATTTGTGAACTTTGGTAACCTGCATCAATCTGCATACTGTGTATTCTGCGTGTGGCTGCATGCACCAAATCATGACCCTTGTACAGTGATGGTTCAGCGTGAATACACAAACCAATACAGCCCTAAAAAACAAACTGCTAAACCAGGGTTCCTTCAGATCTATAATAAGTCTGTCATTCATCTAAAATGACGCCTAAATTGGTATTAAAATGTCTAAAATAAACATTTCAAAAGTCTTAAAAATACCACGGGAAGTAGGATTTTATAAATCTTTTGTTAATACAATTTTTTATGTTGCTTCATAGAATGACAAAATAATTGCTGAGATCTATTTTTTAAAAATTAATTTGCTGAATGCATTTCACATAAACGTCACGCAGATTGAGATAACGAAACCAAAAACACTTATTTTGTTTCTGGTCAGGATGCTCAGAGCAGAGGATCCACTGTCTGCTAGCTAAGTGTCACTGTACCCTGGACGACGTGGGGAAGTGCAAATTCAATGAAAATTGGCTAGTTTACCAAGATTTTGCAGCATGGCTAAAACCATTACAAGGCAATGCATACGAGGCTCTGTGTATTTCATGGAGTAGAACATTTTTAAAACACGACATGATGGAAAAGAAGGCAGTGGAATTCCATGTGCAGAGTGGGAAACACAGAATTGCCAAGAAAACTTAACAGGTATTTCTCAGTGCTGTTGATGTTGCTTAATTTTTGTTTCCTTCAGTTTTGTGGTCTTTAATTTTATTTCAGGTGGTAGCAAAAAGTCTCGCCTTGTGCTGTAGGAACCCTGTAAGCATCGCGTTCATTTTTAAATGGTAAAGTCTCACAGTGAATCTTCTGTCTCCTTCAGGATCAATGTTCCTGCCACCCACCTCAGCGTTTGGAGCAGGCCTGTACTCCGTGGCCGTCTACGGAGGCCTGGTCCTGTTCAGCATGTTCCTCCTCTATGACACACAGAAGGTCATCAAGAGGGCAGAGACACACCCACTGTATGCTGCACAGAAATATGACCCCATTAATGCGTAAGTCACCACAGGAAATACTCACAAACACTTGAAATGAGGTTTTAAGCACATTGATGTTAGTTATATACTCACACCAGTGTATTGATCTCGTGTTGTTTTTGATCCCATAGGTGTATGGGGATTTACATGGACACTCTGAACATCTTCATGAGACTGGTGATGATTCTGGCGAACGGCGGCAGCGGCAGAAGGAAGTAAACAGCAGCATTCTGACTTTAGCTCCGCTTTGATCTTCCACAGAGCCGAATAAAATCCTATTTTATTACTAGCAGCATACGCCAGGTGTTATCTCTCAGTGACAAGTCTTACCTAACTGATAAATATACAGTACATGAATACTTTGCGAGGGTGTGGAGGCGAGGATTGCACTCTCTGGTGCAAAGAAGACAAATTGGGATAACACAGTGAGAGCTCGTACCTTGACTGTGGAAGTATGTGGTGTATCCTGGGGGTTACAGATGGGCTAATTCTGTCTGTCAGCATCGTTTCGCTCGCCTCAGATGTCATTTGTTTTCTTTGTGTTTTGTATTTATTTCAACTTGATCGGGTTTGTGTTTCTAATGAGAATGAAAGTTCAAGATTATCTGATATATGCAGCACAGATGCCACACATGTCAACCATAAGCAGGTCCAGACTCACAGTACAGTAAATGACTCTATGCTCCAGTATACACTGATATTGCACTTATGTGATTGGTTAAAGAGGTTGGCACTAGTTCATATGTTTCTCAGAAAATATACAGTTCAACAATGGAATCAACAAAAATAAACAAGTCAAAAGTCAAGTTTCTTTGTCAGATTATTTTGAAATGTGATCGTAAAATTGAGCAGAGATTGAGTTAGCATGATTGCAGATAAAAGCCTTTTTCACAGGCGACACTTTGACACGTTACACAGTCGAAAAAGCTCTATTATTAAATACTGCAATTATGATGGCTGAATTATATTTAGCTGCTTCAGTTTTAGTCCTGTTACTGTGTGTGTTAGCTCGCTGTCACCACTCGCTGGGTAACTTAAAGAGAACAAAGCCGTAGTTAATCTATTTTAGTAACACCTGTGCTTTTGCCTCCGCCTCCATGGCAAGTCACCAAAAACACCTATTATTGAAATATAAAAAATGAAAACAACGTCTTCATTTACATAAATACAGGAGGCTTTTCTGCCATGTTTATGTGAAATGCATATTTGCATTAGAGGGTTCCCATGGTCATTAAATCCCATGTCAAATTGACATTTATAGGATCTTGGATTTCTGTATCCCCCAAAGAGAGGTGTGGCCCTGACCATATGTGAAGTACCCATATTTGACAATCTGGTCTATTGGCTTTGGGGGTAATTATGCAGTAAGTTGGCGGTGGAAGTATCTAACAAGCAAGTAAAGTTAGCAAGCATTAGCAGTTTGTTTATTTGCAAATTCCCTGGGATGTGCATCAGAAGGCAGCAGTAGCTCAGTCCATAGGGACTTGGGTTGGGAACCGGAGGGTCGCCTGTTCAAGTCCCCGTCCGGACCAAAATATGGAGCGTGGACTGGTAGCTGGAGAGGTACCAGTTCACCTCCTGGGCACTGCCGAGGTGCCCCTGAGCAAGGCACTGAACCCCCCCAACCGCTCAGAGCGCCTGTCATGGGCAGCCCACTCTGACATCTCTCCACTTAGTGCATGTATAGGTCCAGTTTGTGCATGTGTGTGTTCGGACCTGTGTGTAATTGACAAACAGAGTGAAAAATTGAATTTCCCCTCGGGGATTAATAAAATTAAAAAAATTTAATAATGTATGGCTGTATCGCTCTATAGGCCTACCTATCTTAATCTAATTAAGTCATGGAAATGGAGTAAAATATGAAAAAGTCATGGAAACATTTTTAAAACTCTGGTTAAAATTAGGGCTGCTATCAATTGAAATACTTATTTTTTAATTTTATTTTCCTTGTTTTCAACAACATAACTGTAATACATCCAGAGTTGAATACCAAAATACAAACACTTGCATGTCGTCCATGTTTATACCCCTATATAGCATGAGGCATCTAGCAAATAAGGAGTCAAAGGCAATAGCATTCGAATAGTGTCTAAATCGATTGAAATATTTTATCGCGATTAATTGGAAATGAATTTTTTATCTGTTCTAAATTTACCTTAAAGGGATATTTTTCAAGATTTTAATACTCTTATCAACACGGGAGTGGACACATATGCTTTACCACAGTGTAGAGTCCAACTTTACTCTTGTAAAGCTTAACTAAGCATCCCATGTTTTTAAAGCAGCTGGACATACTCCAGCACTAACTCAAGTCACATCGAAAGTAAATGCAAGTAACGTTGGTCTTGCAGAGAGAATGATGTGGCAGGGCTTTGAAGCTGAACTTGCCAATCAGAAGATGCCTTTCGTCATCCATCTCTGCCCACTGAGGTTTGTTTCTGCTTGTCATCCATAACGTTACTGATATGATAATATTGGAAAGAATGGATTGTTCCAACAATGGGATAATCCTTTTAATTTGTTGAAAAACAAAATTGTAATTGTAATGACAAATGTGTTTTAGGTGCCTATTAAAAGAAATATATTAGCTAGACTTTGCTCCAACACATGGATAGGCAACCTGCGGCTCCAGACATATTTTTTAAATTATTTTTTTGGAAGTAAATGTTGCTCTAACATTAAAGTTAAGCTCCATGACACTCAACCACAAATGATTGATTGCGAGAAGTGTCTTAAGTCAGTGCAAGGAAGTGTTTGTTTAAAGTTTTGTTCACAACCTGTCATCACTGCTACTAAATAAGCCTAAACTGACATATTTTCTCATGAGTCATCCACCCTCTCAGCAGCTCTGACCACACAGTGAAGAACCAGCGGGGGTCTACCTTGTATTTGCCTATAAACAGTCAGTGTGTAGCAGCAGCAGATGACAAAGGCTTAGCGTCGTAATCCTCTTGTCCACCATCTGGCTGCTCCTCTAAAATTAAACCTCCAAACCAGGGCACTTGCAGCAGATGCTAACATCTGTAAATATGCAGGTGCTTCATTAGAGCACGTACACGTGGAGCACACAGCTGCCGGGGGGTGTTTCAATCTCTCGGATCATGTTCACGTTTAGGGCACATATGATTCATATATACTGTGTATTGGGGGCGGGGGGAGCCCTGCAGATGGGAGGGATAAAGAGGGCAATAATGGATGAGATTGGGGAAAGCTTCAGCATGTGGAGATCTGGCATTACTGGGGATAAAAGTTGCTCTCTGGCAGTCATTTTTAGATTGATGACCAATATTTGGTTGGGGTCCAAGGTTTTTACTGCCTAATGCAGGCTTGACGTGGTGCTTGGGTGTGTGTATGAGTGTGTGTTTGTGAGAGAGACTTTAGACAAGTTCAATGGACATTGAATTATGTCTCGGTCTAATTATACCTTCTCCACTTAAACCCACTACACCTTAAGAACTCTGAGCTCTCGAATACATTGTCTTACATTATCACAAAGAGAACAATGTTTTAGTTAATTTCTTAAATAGGCTAAAATATTTCAGCAACTGTCAGGTGGATTGCCATGAAATTTTGAAGAACTTCGAACTGCTGGCATGACTCTTCAGAGTCACCCTAGCTGTTATCATGCTAAAGTTAGCATTTAGCTCAAGTACAGCCTCTCTCTCTTGTGAGAGTCAAGCTAGCTGTTATCATGCTAAAGTTAGCATTTAGCTCAAGTACAGCCTCAAAGAGCTGCTAGCAAGGCCCCTTTGAGAGTCACCCTAGCTGTTATCATGCTAAAGTTAGCATTTAGCTCAAGTACACCCTCAAAGAGCTGCTAGCAAGTCTATTATGCGATTCATGCTAGCTGTAAGCATGCTAAACTTAGCATTTAGCTCAAGTACAGCCTCAAAGAGCTGCTAGCAAGGCTCTGTTGTTCTTCTGAGTAATTTCTTATATCTTTAAATATTATTGTTGGTTTAGCAACTAAGCGCATTTGTATTTTAAGGTAAACTTGTTCATTATATGAGTATTTATTAATGCTACTTCAAACTGTATAAACATACAAAGCTACATATTGCAACCACTCAACTACATTTTAGTAGAAAATTACACTTTTAATTCCACCACATATTTCTGGCATCAGCTATATTTAATGGTTACTTTGTGAATTCAGATTTTCTGTGAGAAAACCTGATGGTCATCTTGCATTTATTATTGTAGGTTAAAGCACCCAGCAATATGAACGTACTTAAAATTAGCTGCACCTCAACTACAACATTAAAATGTTGCTTATAAGTTCATGAATCTGTAATAATATACAAATTATAGATTATTAAAAGCACATTTTGCTAACAATACTTCTGTACCTTTACTTAAATATTTTGAATTCAGGACATCTACCTGACATTAAGCATGTTTATATTTGCCTAATTTTTCCATATATTTATTTTCTGCCTCAGATGGTTTCTTGTGTCACTATAAACACAGAGCAGTCCATGGATCCTGTGTTTATTTTAGTGAACAGAGCAGATCCTTCACTGGCTCCCAACCGCTAAGATGCATGAGTATGTCACTGAACGTCAGACGCTATTTTTATACCTGTGAAAGTAGCAAGTGCAAAGTCTGCACCTCTAAGTGACTAAGTCAATACAGTTAACACACCTCGCTGAAACAAATGCAGCGTGCACTTGCATGACACCTGTTTATAAGCAGATCTGATTTTTTTTTAAAGGTGCAAAACTCTCCTGAAGTGGAAATTGTGTTCACTAATAATAAAATATGACGTTTTGGGCTCTTGGCCATCATCAGATAAGGGAAAGGTTGCAAGACCGAAACGTCATACTCAGTTTTCCACTTTGGCCCTTTTTTTCTGTCAGCAGCTCAGCTGTGTATTTTTGGTCTGTGACTCTCTCTGAATTTGAGAGCAGCGTTTTGGTGTTGACCTGCTTAAGCTGCAAGTGATTCATACCAGGAGTTCTTACAATTTTAGACAGTGCTTAGTGGAAAACATCTCTTGTAAAATGACATTAAGCCAAACAAAAAAAATATGAAGTGGGCTTGCTGCTTGAAAATTTAAAATCAAACAACCCTGACTGACAATATTGGCTATTTGTAAAGGCGTTCTCAGGCATAGTGATTGACAGGTCACTGGGCTTCTTGGGAAAAGTGGACTGCAAAGCTTCTTGGCTATAAGTGCATCACAGATTCACAAGTGCAGCTGAGGCTCGTGTTGATCAGGGAGCTGCCAAGGAGAGCAGCCACGGGGAAGCTTAGGCCAGTGGGACTCGCTACATGTGACTAATGAGTTTGTTGAAGCCTTTTAAGACACCAGCGACAGGAGCCAATTGTGCCATGTGTCCATACCAACTAACAAAGAGACACAAATGTGAACAAATGATGTTTGTTTGAGGTGCCTGGTGTGTAAGCCAGTGGTGCTCCCATGTGGGGGGGCATGACCCCCATGAAACAATGGCTGCCCCCCGCCATTGGCTTACCCTGGTGAAAGTAATTGGAAACTGACAATACTGTCTTTAAAGCCTGGTATACACTGTGAGAGTTTGGCCTGTCCTAGATGAAAGATGACCAACGTGAAAGAAACGTGACGATATATTTGGTTGTGGCTCTAAAATGGTGGTCCTACACACAGTCACACAGTGTGAGGTTCAAGGACGGCTGTTGTCATGGTCTTATGATCAGAGACAGCCTGGGATTGCCAGTGTCAGAAATTTTGGATGACCATCTCACTGTGTGACTGCCGTTACCACCTACGTCTACTAACCAACCAATAGACATTAGCATTGGTGCTAAACCCAAACAGACGGATAGCAGCTCTCCATGGAGGCAAAACACGCTGAAAGAAATGTGTGGGATTCCAGCAAAGAGGAAGACCTTGTCAAGTTGTGGCAGCAGAAGCCTTGCCTGTATAATGTGTCCTCCAGCTCTTACCATGATCGCGTAAAGACGGATGAAGCATGGCAGGAAGTAGCGGCTGAGTTACAGCTGCCAGGTTAGCACCCTAGCAGCTAGCAAACACAGACAGACCACGGTATATTATGCCCACAAAACTTTAGGGTATTTAATAATGTGACACTCTATGTTATGCTTCACAGTTTGAGAAGTAATAACTCGTGCAGCATCCTTGCGCACTTAGTATGGGAAGCTATTGCATCTTAGGTTGTAGCCTGCAATTCAGTAAATGCTGTCATCGTACAGTCTGCGAACTTAATGTCCTACCCAAGTTTATTGGATCCATTTTGCACAGTGTAGCTGTACTAAACTTATAAGGTTGCTAAAATCTGTAGGAGGCTCAAGAGGCTGTGGGGCACTCATTTTTTAAGGGAGCTCAAAGATAGTGGTATCTTGTGAGAGTAGATAACGTAAGGCATAGCATTTTGGGATGGGGGCTAAATAATGCTTGAAATTTAGGCTACATTTTGGCGAGGGAACAAATGGCATGGCCATTCTCAAAGGGGTTCCTTGAACTCTCACCTCAAGATGTCTGAATGGAAACAGAGTGCTGTAGGGATGATGTGTTTCTGAAGGCCAGCCAGGAAGTTGGCATCACCCTAGTTCCCTCGTCAAAAAGCCAATGGGATTTTCCAATTTGATTTTGGATTATTGCAGAAATTAGGCTCTGTGGCAAAAAAAACTTCATGATACTTAGACTGTTTGTTCAGCAAGTGTAAATGCAATTGCCAGAGGTAAAAAGCTAATGTTAGCCCATAAACAAGCTACACTACAACTGCATGACTTTAATGTTGCCACTGCAAGAAGGCTGTAAAGCTGTGTTCGACATGATGACATTCTGAAGTCTCATTTAGCCTCTTGTTAGCAACCGCCTTTTTCAACACATTAAAGCTTCAAAATTCATGAGTGGGGTAATTACAGATGTATTTTATGTCATAAAACAAAATGTAAATGTTTCGTAAGCTTGTATTAACCACAGACCTTATTTCAGGCCGATAACCAAAAACCCATTTACTTCAAGACAAGAGGACAATGTTTTAGGACTCTTTCTTGTACCACTCTATGGGTTCAGTGGGTTCCCAAGAGTCTCCCTTATAGCCTATATACTTCAACGGCACAATCAAATTCCTGATATTCAGTAATGGTTTCTGGTTTTGGTGTGCCACCCCAAGATTTTCAGTGACCTTGTCTGGCCACACCTATGACAAATTTCTGGGGGCACCACTGGTGTAAGCTGGAGTAAATTCAATGTAATACTAAATACTGTAAAGCGGGAGTCTTAGTGGGTATATTATGTCATTAAGTCTTTGATTTAACAGTAATCATGGATGCAGTGTCTCATGAGTTCGTTTTCACATGTGTGCAGAGGTGTGATGATCACACCATATTGTGTGAAACCTGAACTCATTTCCCTCGACGCGTAGTTTTTCAGGAGAAGTCGGAGAGAGAGCAGTATGGTTGGAAGATGTCTTCGGAGGAAACGGATGCGTCACTGGATTAGTGCCTGAGAATCTGTCCCAGCCTCTTCCTCCTGAGCTCGCTGAGACGCCTCCAGAAGGGCACGACACTCGCTGCTCGCTTTCCCTCCGCCAAGCCTTCCACATGAGCCAGCCAAGCCTTGCCTCCCCACCAGGATGAAGAAAGAAAAGAAAATGCATGCTTTACTGTTTCTCCTCCTGCTTCACTTCACCTTGGGTAGGACTCTGCTTTTCCTTCCTTTCTTGTTTTGTTCTTTGAGTGTGGTTAAGACTTCTTGGCTTGCTCTTATCTGGTTAATCCTCTAACACACAGAGAGGGCATGACCATCTTAGCGTAGACTGCTCATGCTGCTTGTACTCTAAATGTGTGATAGTATGTTTGTGTTGTGATGGTGGCAACTCCAAATATAATTCATCTTCTCCTTCCTGCTTTCGGTTCCTGCCCTTTTTAGCAAGTGAGTGCAACAGTTATCTCTTAATCACATAAGAATCAAACATGATTCATGACATTTTTCAGTCTTATGCATTACTTGGAGTGGCTTCTGCTCAAATAACTTGGAGCATGTTTATTTCTTTGAAGGGCAATCAGACTATGCTCCGTATTTTTATGATAATGGACCCAGCAGTACACATGGGAATATGGCCTTGTTCAGCATCTCTGAGGATACAGCAGTTGGTAAGTGTTATTTTAGCAATCACAGTGCTGGTTAAATTCATTGTGAGATATCATTTAGAGTAGTTTAAAGGTGTCATGCATAGGTGTTAAGATGAAATTATCACACTGGTCTCGAGGCGTCAGCTAATCACTGTAATACCTTTTGGATTGTGACGTACGTCAAGACTTACGGGAGAAAACAATATGGGTGGTGACTCATCTGACCTGAATATTAAACGGGCATTTACACTGAATAAGAAATTAGAGTTAACACAAAAGGGTTTGCATAATGAACATAAAAATATGTTCTTTTTTTGTTTGACATTATTGTTTTTCTTTGTTATTTTTGCCACACAGGGACGCAGATATACATTCTGAATGGCACAGATCCAGAGGGAGATCCCGTGCGATACGGTCTGACTTTTGAAAAGGGCTCCAAAGAATATTTTAGGGTGGACTCCAAGTCAGGAAATGTGACTCTGATTCAGGAGCTCGACAGAGAGGTGAGGCTGTCGTTTGTTTTGAAGAAACCGTCTAAGAATCTGTCATCGCTGTGGCTCAAAGTGACGTCCACCTTTTTGTTGTAGAAACAAGATGAAATCTCGGTGGTCGTGAGCATAACGGACGGTCGCAATAAAGTAAGTTTTTGCTCTTTTTGTGACATATTAGTCACAGCTATGACACTACAGTTTGTATGTTATCATTATTTATTTGGATTCCCATTAGCCACTAGCAAGGTTGCATCTACTCTTCCTGGGGTCCACACATGTAAACACTGCATCATAGTGTAAAACAAATACGCAATTAAAAATCCAAGGCAAAAGGGAACAAAAAAGAAAACAGGAAAACTACAAACAAAAGTAACATAATATTTAACAAAACATGTCCTACTTGGAGAGGCGCAGGTGTTCGGTGCCATCAGCATTCAGTATTTTTCAATTCCTCTGAATATAACAGCCTTGTATTCGTTTTTGGAAGAGGAAGTGAAAAACAACCTCTTGATACATGCCTACTATCAAAATTACAGTAATTACAGCTATAAGAAAATCGACGGTAAAGGACATCTGTGATTTTAAAGTGATATATGTGAAAGTAAAGCAAGGATAGTGGGAGAGGGCAAAAAAGGAATACAAAGATTGATCTGTGAAAAAGATATATCTACAAAGTAAGTGCTGTGACAGGAGGTAAATGGGACACTTACCATGTTGTGCTTTAGAAAATAATGTTTTTAAATATACAAAACTATATTTTTCTGATCACCTTCAGTCAATTATTTCTCTCTAAGGAGTTGTTTTTATTTATGAGATTTTGTTTTCTTCTTGCTTTCAGGTTGTTGAGACAGTGAGAGTGTTTGTCACTGATGCCAATGATGAACCACCTGAATTTCAAAACCTGCCTTTCATCATTGACATCCCAGAGGTACAGTACACCCAATACATTATAAAAAAAATACAATCGGTTTGTTTATGCCACAAACAACCTCTAAATCTGCCCATTGTGTCAAACAAATAATTGAGAATAAGGTGAGTTTTAAAGTCTTGTATCTTCATTAGGACACTGCTCCAGGAAGCAGCATCTACAGAGTCCAGGCAATAGACAGAGACATGGGATCAGGAGGAAGCGTCTCATATTATCTACAGGTAAGCTTTGATGTTATGCAGATGATGCACAGTTGTGACCCTGAGATCTGTAAAGCTGTGTCACAGTGAAATTGAGTGCTGTATTTCGAGTGCTATATTAGGCTGTTCTATTTTGTTGGTCCAAGTCTACTACTAAATTTTGGGAACACACTGGAGGCTTTGTGTTGAATTTTAAGTGGAGATAAAATGGTATGAACATTTCTTTTGACGATTTCAGTGACCAAAATTAATATGGGGAAAATGTCCAAAAAGTATTGATATACACACTGAATTTTATATTGAAAACAAGAGATAAAATTTGTAGCACTTTTTGTTTGCATGAACATTAAAACAATAACATTGTCAATATCTTATATAAACATATGAAAGCCTCGTTAAAGATAGCCTTCTTTGACATGCTTGCCCGAGTGTCGGTGTCACTGTAGATGAAGACGGGGGATCTGTAGCATCACCGGGTTGTCTCTGTAAACAAGGGAACAGCTAAAAATAAACATGTTGCATGCTGCACCTGCACCTGGGAGACTGTTGCGAACTGCTTGATGCTGAACAGTATTAATTGTGAGTTTTTCAAAGCACGGTAATCAAACATGGTATGAATGATAATTAAAATCTGAAACTGCAATACTAACCTTTTGGGAATTTTCCCGCAGTTAATCATGAAACTGGAGATTTATTCAAATTTTTAATATACCCAGAACCAAATATTTCCTGCATCTAACTTCACTCTGGTATAAGGCTGAAAAATCTCTCCAAAATGAGGCAGCCAGGCTTTTACAGTAACAAGTTCCCAGAAAAGTGACCTATTTTAGCCTCCTTGCACATGGCCTCCAGTTGATTTGTAAGATTTTACTAATCGCATGTACAGTAGAGCATCAGCCTACATCTCCAGATCTCTTAACTCCTGCATGCTGGAATACACCCTCAAGTCTGCCAACAAGTTTATCCTCTCAGTTCCCAAATCCCTATTTGAAAGTGTGAGCAAGCATTTCTGATTACACTGTTGTACTTATTTTTATCTTCTCACAGTTTCACACTTAGTTTTTATCAATGTTTTTCAATTGTTTGATTCCATTTTCCTCCTTTAATCCATTTTAAAAATCATATTATTTGTGTTATTGCCACTGCACTGCTGTTATTTACATAGTGATACTGTTAACTGGCTTGGTGTGGCACTAACACCCGGGGGTTGAGACCGGAGGTCGAGGTGACATCATGAGAGCTGTGCTGCCATGTGGAGGGAGGAAAAGGGCATTCGAATGATGGGACGGTGTGCGGAGGGAAAGATTAATCTCATACCAGAGAGCAGTCTGGGAATGGTGTTACTTTAGTGGATTAAATTTCAATTACATTTGAGCAAGGCACTGAAGGCTTAATAGGGGCTTAGGTTTGGTCTGGGCCAACAGCTGACAGCGCAGTAGTTGCTCCTGTTCATGTGTCAACTGTGAGATAAAAATGTGTATTTACTGTTGAAACACTGCTAACTGTGTGGCTCTGTGCATTATCAGACTTTACCGTTTGCCAAGTTTACCATCGATGGGCACAGCGGGATCCTAAGAGTCAAACCTGGTGAGACTTTGGACTACGAGACCACGCCTACACACTTTGTGACGGTGGTTGCAAAGGTGAGCGATCACACCTGATGCCCCTTTTGCCCTTGGGTTTGTCTTCTTGGGTGCCCCTAAAACACACATTCACATTGGGCCTCATTCACAAACAGTGCATATGCACAAATCTTTGCATAAACCATGCACACTAACATTGTGTACACAAATTGGGGATTCAACAACAATTTCTTACTTGAATTTGTCATAATTAAACTATTTAACCACAATTTAATCTGCAACATGACAAAGACATAAAAATGATAAGCAAAAAGGAAACATATGTAGCTTAAAGCTATTATCAGTCGAACAGTTGGGTAGTGATTCATTTGTTACTCAATTTTGATGCACAAAAGATGCCCCTTTAGACCTTTAACTTGTATTTCGAGCACCACAGTGGTTCCTTGAGATTTCACCCACAAGAAGCTTGAAGTCAAACATTTGCAGTGGTGATGATGGCGTCTCTAATGACTAGCGCTGGGAACCAGTACTCGATAACATTAGGTATTGCCAAAATATCCCAGTACCAAGTAGTATTCAAATGTCTCCAGGGAAGTGATACCAGCATGGGATGCTTTTGTGTGCCAGGGGTCTGATCCTGGATTGTCTCGACAACCTGCCAGGTCAGCATACTTTCTGTTGCTGTTATCTCTGGAGCCGCTCTCCTCCTGGCAAGTCTGCCCTGTTAGCACAAGCTTACATAGCAGCAGCACTAACATCCAGCGCCAAGCTGTCAAATGGTCCTAACAAACTCACACTGACACTGAAACACATTAGTTGTTTGATGCTAACAGTTAGCTCTGTCACTGTGTGTGTACAGCCCGGCAGACTCTAATATTTGTCCCTGGAGTGGAGCTTACACTCCTGCAGCAGCTACAAACCATAATGTTGCAGTCTGTGGTGTGGTGAAACTGAGTACGGTGTATTTAACGGACTTAGCAGTTCAGCGTGCCGAGATACCACTAATGTGTTCGGAAGTATGGCTCTACCACACACCACTCCATTCACATGATGGGTATCTGATGAAGTACTCTTCTGCTGTGGTTCCCAACTGGTGGATCACGGTCCAAAAGTGGGTCATGGGTCCATTCTGAATGGACCACAAGTGACTTGTAAACATGTCAAGTTTGTAAAAAAAAATCCACTTTATTTTGAAGTAGGGTGCATTTCCAGCACAGAGCTTTCACTTTGAAGTGCCGTTTCCTGCTGTTGAGTGAGTGACTATGCGACAGGTGCTTGACAGAGACAGCAAACTAGCTTGATAACATGGCCAAATACAAGTATGACGCTGAATATATTAAAGTGTGTGGACCTTGAACTCATAACTGAGGAGAAATCTAGACCCCGTGGGTGGACCAGTTGGGAACCACTGCTCTACTGGTATTATTAGTGTTGGTGCTGGTATTGTAATTTTCTAAACAATACCCAGCCCTGGCAATGATGACCATAAATTAGCCTAGAAAAATCACAGTGTTAAAAACAGCAGCTAAGATAAGCAGCAGCAGAGACTTGGGTCGACAGCACACTTCCTCCATGTTAGACCTCTAGGCAGATGTATTTCTTTATACAGTGAAACGGGGGTGGGGCAGTATGCTGATCGCAGATAGCGAGCACGCAGCTGTCAATTTAGAATGATTCTGATTCATTAACATACACACAGTGGTAAGATGAGCAGGAGCTTAACATGAAGTTACAGATTCGTCCATGTCGTGCAGCAGCAACCTTTCTCCAGGAGCATTGCTTTTTACACCTTTATTCTAAAAAGAGAAGATTTTAATTGGCCGAGCTCTACCTCTGTAGCACTTTGCACATGAAACATTTGGCAGGAAGGCTCCACAGCCCATCTGTTGGTGGCCAAAGGTCATGAAAAGTTCAGTCATGACTAAGCTTTCTGGACACCAACACTTTGCTGATTTTCCACAGTCTCAGTGTGTGAAGTGTTGACAGTGTTGCTCCCAGTGTGAATAACCTGACAGGAAATGTTTCCACTGTGAGTAATAATGTGATGGAGAGTTTGTTTTCCTAGTCTCAGCTCTTCTGTGTGTCTGTGCAGTAACAGACTTTATATATA